TTAACTTTATAAGGAAAGAGATACCAAAATATGTTATTTAGAAAGATTTAATGAAAGTACCTTTTTTTTTTTTTTTTCCCTAAAACAACAACTATATTGAAACATATGAATATATTGTTTTCCACAATTTAATGTACTTTTATAAAGACATATCATATCTTAACACAATAAATATATTCTAAGAAAAAAAAAAATGATATGGATTTATCATTAATAAGAAAAGTATGACAATTTTTTTTTTATTTTTTATTATTATTATTTTTTTTAAGTATGACACTTTGACTCAATCAAACATTTAATTTTAAAAGTTTTTCACTGTGAAAGTTGGAATTGATTTTGTAGGGGACCACAGTTGATCAATGATTGACTGAAACTAGCACGAGACAAGATAACTAATATATGTTGTCAATTGTGAATTAGATTCCAATTGGATAAATAATAATAATAATAATAATAATAATAATAATAATAATAATAATAATAATAAGATAAGTAATAATAATAATAATAATAATAAAATAAGTAAGATCATTGTTTACTACTGAAAACCAGTCATTTCTTTTTTAATAAATATTTATATGTTTAATTTAAAATGTCATATTTAAATAAACAAATATATATTTAAAATATTTATAAAAAATAAAGAATCGACTGACTAGTGGTTAGACCGACTCATACAAAAATTTGTAGAAAAAGAAAAAAGAAAAAAAAAGAAGAAGGGCGAGCTCAATAAGGCTCATCTTTAGGCACATGCCTATCAAAATTTGATTTGGGCCGTCAATGTAACATGTCCGGGAAATTTACATAAATAACTAACTCTTAAAAATCATTTACATAAAAATCCTAGTTTGGGAAAAGTCCAAATTTACCTTTATTCATTCCAAAACAATACAAACAGTTACAATGGAAGTTACCTAAAATTAATTTAATAATTAATTAAATAATTAATTATTTTTTCTCTTTCTTCATTCTCCTTCTTATTTTCTTCATGTTTCCATGTCCTCTCTTTTCTTCTCTCCCTTTTCTTCTTCGTCTGATTTCACATGGCCCAAAAAAAAGATCAACTAAGCATACACATCCATAACAATTAATAAAAAGAAACATACAAGTAACAATAATAAATTAATAAAAAGAAACATAAATATTTATTTTGTAACTTGAAATATTAATAATATATACTATGAGAAACATACAAGTAACAATAAAACAACATCATCACACGGTAAAACAACATGAAAACAACTTTATATTAACAGTAAAAAAAATTAACAATTTTGGACTAGAATCAAAATTGCAATTGCCTTGTCCAGAGCATCACTAGATTATAAACTGAGAACACACAATGAGTCCACCACTATTTTTCAACAATTAAACAAAAAAAATAGCAACACATACAAACACAAGGACAGATGTAACTTTTGCAAAGAAAAAAATAAAATATATATATTTTTCCAAGTTGGTTTTTTTTTCGCATTTTAATATCTCAAATGTTGTACTGTTGAAAAAAATTGATTTTCTCAGAGAGAACAAAAGAGTAGGGCAAACAAAAACTCAATTGACTATGCACTAGCGCAAAAAATAGGTAAAATCAAAAATAGCCAAGTTAATACACGGATTAAAGCACTTCGACAGCATTTCCTCACACACAGTGAATTTAGCACACGTATTTACGAGCGGATCAAGTGTGACGCACAACAGGCCTGCTCAATCGCGTGCTTCGGTCCCCGTGAAAAGAACGATTGAGAACGTAAACAAGAAAATGAAAGACGACTACCTCGGAGTAAAATCGCCGGCCGGCACGGCAGCGACAATCGGACGGAGACTTTGATCGGCATCGGCTGTGGGGAAAATGGAAATTTTGATTTTGATTTTTGATTTTTTTTTTCGGACGGGCTTAAAATGACGGTGACTCAACTTTTTAATGAATTAAAAAAAATAATAATAATAACCGCTCAACAAAATAAAACAACGGTTACCAAATTTTATTAATTAAAAATTTGAAGAAGGGGTATATATGACAAAGAAATTGAGTAAAACTGTTTAAATAGTGAACAAGCCTTCTATTGTAAAATGTGTTAAAGATATAGTTAAGGGGTGTCATTTTTTCTAACATGTCCCGTTGGCAAAGGTCCAAAACCAAAAGCCTAAAACAATAAACTAACTGTAAAAATCAGCGTGATTTCCCCAAATTGTTAAATTTTGACTTAAGAGATATGATTCGAATTTTTTACCAGAATGTTGAAAAAGAATTAAGGTGTGGAAAAACAAAATACATAAATAATTGAGAACGGACCAAAATAAAAACCCCGTATTCAGTGAATACGTTTTACAATTTTTTAATTGTAAAACGTATTCACCGAATACGTTTTCATTTATAAAGAAATCTGAAAAAACATATTTAAGGAATACGTTTTCTACCTAAATTGTATGGAAAACGTATTCCTTAAATACGTGTTTTTTATTGTCGTCCACTCCCTTTTTTTTCTTTTTTTTTTTGTCCACATATTTTTTTATTTTTTTTTTAATATATAAATTGCTCGTATCGATACATCGAATAAATTCAAATCATAAGCAAGAAAATGTATTTCACGTCGAATAATTCTTACATCCAGATTCAATGGCCAAGTAAAAATGTGCCAAAAGTGTAAAAAAAAAAAGAAAAAAAAAAAGAAAAAAAAATGTGCCAAAACTGCAAAAAACATGGCTGATTTTCATAAACTCATAATAAATGCAAATGAATAAATGAGTGTACCATGCAAGAGCTAATAATTAAATGTGTTCCCCCACATATGGGTAATATTACCTTTCTTCAGGGATTTCATCATAAAATATGAAAGCTTATTTTTAAAACATAAAAAATATCTTTTGTAAAAAATGGGGGCAAAACGGGTGTGGTCCCACGTGGATGAAGTGCACCAAGACATGGAAAGCCCAAATGAAGCTCAAGTGAGATTCAATCCCAAAACTAATTGGTGGAAGTATGAGTGGCTCACCAGACTTATAAATTAAACATATTTGTCCTATATAAACGATTTGGGACAACACACAAGTGAATATTCTAAAAGTCCTTCATAAGGAAGCACAAGCCCATATACGGAGTCGGATGCCCAAGCCCTAAAACCCTGATGAAGCCCAAGTGAGATTTCATCCCAAAACCAATTAGTTGTAAGAGGAGTAACTCATTAGACTTATAAATTAAGTATATTTTCTCTATATAAAGTGGTTGTAGGAGGAATAGCCTATTAGACTTATAAATCATGTCTATTTTCTTACATAGACGACGCGAGACAACTCACAAATGAAAGTTCTAATAATTTTCATTACAAAAAATAACCAATTATTAGATTTATAATATATGGGAAGAGGCACCCATGCCGATGAAGCGCACCATAAAAGGTTAGGTTCTATCCTGAAAACCGACCCTTGATAAGAGGAGTAGCCCATTAAACTAATATACTAGACTCGTTTTTTCTATAGAATCAATGTGGGACAACTCACAAGTGATATTCCAACATCAATAAACCCAGTTAATATCTAGGTCACCTCATAAAAAAAAAAAAAAAAAAATGGGGCTATAGATTAATTGCACAATCTGGTGCACTTTTTCAAGTTTTAAGAGATAATTTTAGAGTGAGACCAAATTTAATGATAACCATTTTTTTTCTTAAAAAAAAAATAATATAATGATAAAATAGGAGAATGTGCAAGCCATGATAATTGATGAGGTTTTCACATGGTATTGGCAAACCTTTTACCAGCAACCTTTAGTGCAATTACACTTTACACATTTAAAAAAAAATAATAATAAATAAATAAATAAATAAAATAAAAGAAAAAGAAAAAGAAAAAGAAAAAAATATAAGTAACAATTTCTGAACATGTATTTGACTGAAACTAGAGGAAACTTACCAAACCCCACATGTTTCTTTTATCCAAAACTCCATTGGTTTGATCCAAGTCAAAAGGGTCAGTCATCAGAGGAGTTTTCCAAAAAAAATAATAATAATAATAATAATAATAATAATAATAATAATTAATAATTAAATATATATAATATTAAAAAGTAGTTCCAAGAAGTAGTAGCTGCTGTGTTAAAAGCAGCCATATGCACATTATTAAAGCAAATTTCCAACTATCCCTACAACTAAAAAAGATCACAAGGTAGATGCTCCCCACTACATTACAAAGAGATGCCTTCACAAATTTAAGTGGACAAATTTGGAGAATTTACAGCTGATAAAGATTCCTTTTTTCACCAGTTTGAACATCATAATTTACCGTTGGATCGAGTAGGTGTGTGTGTGTCGATCTAACGGTTGGATCGAGTAGGTGTGTGTGTCGATCTAACGGCTCGATTCTCTTTGATGGCACTTGGCAAAAGTATTTCAAAGTCATGTCAGCAAGTTTAACAAGATTTTCACTGGCAAATTTGGCTTCTTCTCATTAGAAATTCCACTATCATCCTTCCAAATATAAATAGAACTTACAGAAAACATTTACCAAGAAAGAAGAAATTGCACACAAAGAACTGATACACTAACTAAAACCACTAAACATTTCAATCAGAACACAGCAGTATTCCCTTTTCAACTGCCAAATATGCCCTATAAATTAGGCACTAAAAAAAAAAAAAAAAGAAAGAAACTTGAAGATTAATTCCAATGGTTAAAAGCCAATGCTAACACTATTAGCTTCAACTTCAACACTTTTTTCCTCTCTTCAGCCACAACAGTGAGCTCCAACACCCTACAGTTGGATTTCCTGCTTTACATTACAGGCATAATCATAATAATAATAATAAAAAAACTTAAGGGAGGCCTAACAACAACCAACAGTGCAAACTAAAAAGAACTTCTCAAGAAAAAAACCAGAGAGCCTAATCTGTTATTCTGTTCTTTCATTTTCTTTTTTTCCACTTTGTTAGTAAAGATTAGAATAGAACTGACCCTACCCATATGAACAAATTGCAATATTTTCGCCGATAACTCTAACCTTCGATATCAAATCTCCACCTTCCACACCACATTGCCGCCAGCTTGCCCGTCTCGTACTAGCGCAGCCACTTTCGCCCCATTCTTGGCAAGTAAAATGCCGGATTTGCCCTTATCCTCGTGCGGCAGCTCGCAAGTCTCACTAATCGAGCCCGATTTCAAATCAGCCGGTGGTATAAAACAATCCATGGAAAGGCCCGGGATATTGAAAGCAACTTCCTCAATGGTCCAAGCTTCTTCCATACGAGTCTTCGTGTGGCTCATAGCCATCTCCCCAAATCGGAAAAGGGTCACGACCGATCTTCCGGAATGTGCTATCATGACTCCCTCGACCGGCCGATAGTCATCCAAGAATGAATTGATTGTGGTCTCCCAATAAACGGCCTCCCCACCGTTGGACTGTATCCGGGTCAGATGAGAATCCTCCATGTGAACGAGAAGGCCTGTTTTCTGGCTGAAATAACCGAACATGACGTGGCGAATGATCTCGGCCGGGCCTTCGCTACGCGCCTTGAGCGTCTGAGGATCGGCAGCCAGCTTCAGGATGAAGCAATCCTCACCGTATATGGTTTTCTCTCCTATGCAAATCGAATCTGCGAACATACTGGCAACTGTTCTTGGATCGAGCCCCTGTTTTTCAAGAACCGAAATGCTGCATCAAAAATCAGAAAAACTGGGCATATGCTCTAAATAAAGGAAGTAAATTTATAAAATTATAAACCTGCAGGGCACGGCGTAAGGGCCGAACGGGTCCCTTTGCAGTGTGGGCACCGAGCCATGGGGTGTGGCGCCAGACGAGCTTGCCATTACAGCCCGCGTGAACTTTGCTTCCCCCGACTGCAAGCTCGACGTACCACATGTCGGGATCCATTTGCCATAAAACGAATCCACCCGATTCAGCAGCTCTAGCGATGTTTCGGTTCTTGACGATTTTCGATGCAGTTTCGAATTCTGAGGCCACCATCTTCAGCTTTCCCATGGCATATGCATTTTTAATCGAGTTTTGGATTTTTTGCCCGCCGGATGCTGCAGTATACTGTTGCAGAATGTACTGTGCCGAAGAAGTTTCCTGCAACGAAAAAGAGTTTCAAAGTATTGGACAAAGAAAAAGATGGCATTTTACTTCGAGTACAACGAAAACTGACACTAGTCATCGAGAGCTAATGAAATATTTTTACTTAAAATTTAGTGTAAATCACAGCACAAAACAGTATAACATATTTCATCGAGAACCAGTGATTATCTCATCAATGGATGAACAAACTCAAGTTGATTTTGTGCACTAGTACAGAACTGTTTGCTCAATTACATTCAAAATCCAGCAAAAATTTACAATCTGTAAACCAAATAGCAAAATACTTACAATGGGCGTGTCCTTTATACTGAGATGGGGCAAAGGGTCGGTGGTGCTAACGTGCACAGGAGCCAGCGGCGCACCCATTACTCCGAGAAGCAGCCTCAAATCAGACCTCCTGCTGCCGCCGCCGCCATCGACGGCGACGGACGGGTTCCGGGTCAGCTGCCCTCGGACCCATTGCCCAATACCAGACCCGAACCGCTTCGACTCCCCAATTTCCTCGCCATCCGGATCTGGGCCCTCCATCAACGGAGTCAGGGTCTCGCCCACCGGCCTCAGGCTGCCGGATCTCGCAACCAAGTTGTCGGAGTTGCTCGACCTGACCTTCCGTCGGAGCAGACCCGACATCGGAGACACGCTCCGACCAGGACTCTTGGCCCGCGACCTCGCCGGAGATAACCCGCGCACTACTTCCTCCAACGCCGAAAAAAACCCATGTTTCCTCTCCATCTTTCTAGTCGCTGGTCAGTACTGAGATATGCAGGTCAGTATGTATTAGCACTTAAATATATGCAAATTTTTGCTGTATGTATATATATGTCAGTAACCAAGTTTATGTAAGATGAACAATCACGCAGCCATTTTCCTTGAGAGAAGGAGAGAGCAAAAATGGCGTTCTATAGAGACGAAAAGTACCAGGGCTGCAGGGGGAGTGTGAAGGCGAGTCGTGGGGAGAGAGAAAATAAAGGATACTGTCAGTCAGCACTGCTGCTTTTCTGGTAGTGGGCGCGTGGAGCCACGCTTTCGGAGAGGGGACCAAAGTTGAAGGGCGTGATTGAATATGAATATAATTGAATTTTTTTTTTTTTTGGGTACAGGGACCTTCCGGTTTTCGGATTCACAGGGGAACCGACTAATTCGGAAACGAGCCGGGTAGGACCACAAGGGTGACAAAGCTCTCCCTCAAGAGTTTTAACACTGCTGCATTCCCAGGATTCGAACACGAGACCACTGGTTAAGCTGGAAGAGACTCAAACCATCTCATCCAAGCGTTTCTTTCTTAACTATAACTCGTACGAGTCCCGTCCATTGCACGTGTAATAGATACTCTCATTAATATTTATAAATTAATAAATTTTATTAATATTTATAAATTAAAATATGAAATCAATATATGATACAATTACCTATACTAATTTATTGAAAATGTTATATAAAGTTAAATTGTATAAAATTTCATAAAAAAATTCTATTTAAAATTAATACACAACCGTGTGGTGCACATAAATGATAATAAATTACATTACATTCTTTTCTAAATAAGTATCAATTCAAAAAATTTATTCAAAAATTCGATTTAACTATAATGTGATTCCATAAAATAGTTATTTTGGTAAAATGTTATCATATATTTAACAACATATATGAGTAATAAGTATAAATGTAAAATTTATATTGTTTCATTACTTAAAATAATTTAATTTAGGATAAACTATTCAAACACAAAAAAATTAAGCAGTTGAGTAATTTATTAAACTATAAATACTTGACTATTTCGTTTACGTCTAAGATAGTATTGACTCGTAAGTTATTGAATAATTTATTAAACTATAAATAATTGAATATTTCATTTACGTCCAAGTTAATATTGACCTCTAAGTTATGAATAATTATTTTTTTATTTTTAATTTTAAATAAAAAAACTTTTTATTATTTTAATATTTTATATACAAAATTTAAACCATGCAACTAATAAAGGTAGTAGCTGCAAGTTTTGTCAATAAATTATATTTCAAATTTAAATCATGCAACTACTAAATGTAATAGCCGCAATATTTGACCAAAATGATACTGTACATTAATTTAGGCGGGATTTTTCAAATTTTTGCCAAAAATATTACTTAATATAGTAAATACTTTAGGAGGGAAACAAAATATTTTTTTTGTTGATTTTTAGTTTTTTTTAAGTAAATATCATTGTCTCACTCAATATAGTAAATACTTTAGGAGGGAAACGAAATGTTTTTTTTTGGTTGATTTTTAGTTGTTTTTTTAAGTAAATATCATTGTCTCTTTATATATTAATCGATTGATTTTGAAAAACGTGATACGATTGATTAATTGTTAGTGAAAATTTTAATATAAACTAAAATAATATTTAAAATAAAATAATTATAGTTGATTTGATGTAAAAATATGAGAAAAATGATTAGAAGTGATGGTTAGTTAAAACTATGTGAGTATATGAATAATGAATTAAAGTTTATGTGATTTGTAAGAATGATTTGTTGATAGTATTTAGTTATATTGACGATATTGAGTATAGTGAGATTGTGTTAAAGTTGAGCTAAATTGAGTTTTGATTGATTATTTTATCGATCAAGTTTATATTCTCAATCACACCCTAAGTTTCGATCACTTATGTGATGGTTTAATTTTTTTTCCCTTGTAAATGTGAAAGTTACTCAAACAACTCCAATGACAAGTCTATGTATCATAAAACAATTTAAAAAAAAAAGGTAATTGGAAAAAAAATGATATCGTATGATAAAGAACAACATTGACAAATTTTGAAGCCTCCAAATTTTATTTTTTTTTTGGTATTAATATTGACTAAAGTATAAATCCTATTAGCAAGTAGTATACTTAAATTGTTAAACACATTAATATTGAAGGGTCAATGGCCGGTTGATCAGGCCGGATCCGGGTCTGGGCCGGGTCGTGTCCGGGTTGGTTTCGTCTTTTTTTTTTGTAAAACAATATAAAAAATATAAAATAAAATAAAAAGCGGGTCATTGACCCGGCCCAGACTCGCCGAACCGGGTCATGAAATGAATGACCCTGACACAACCCTTCGGAAATCCTGTCCGGGCCTGGACCCGCGGTCAACGAGTTTGACCGGGGGGTCCGTGCCGGGTCCGGTGGCCCTTGGCCATGTCTACTTCTCATATAACAAAATTTAAATTAGGCTGGAAAAGGACAGACAAACTATATTAACAACTTAATTAAAATGTTACTTCCATACAAAGTTCTCATGATGGAGCTTCGGAATTATTATTTTTAGTATATGTGAAAAACCACAAGCGTTTTTATGTTAGGCATATATATAATATAACAAAACTTTTATAGTTTCCTATACGGCTATACCAACGAACTAAAAGAGTTGAAGACTACTGTTAGAATTGTTGTTCGAATCTAACTATTAGCGAACATAGCTTGATCCGACTTGTTCGTTTATTTAAATGAGCTCGTTTCTCTACTTGAGCGAGTCGAGCTCGAACAAATAACCGAACATGTTTATTAAACAAATCGAGTTGAGTTCGTTCGTGAACAACTCGTTTATTATTTTTTATAGGTTTTGTATGAACATTCGAGCCGAGCATGTTTGCGGACGAACAAATCGTGCATGCTTGCAAACAACTTTTATCATCTATGATGTTGAGTTTGTTAAATGAATCGAATAAAGTTTAGACAAGTTGTTGACGGTCAAATTTGCCAACAAGATTACTAAGCGGTAATATGCTATATTTTGGGGATTAATGTTTGGATCTATATTATTGAACATGCCCGTTAAAGATTTTCAAATTATCAAATGCAATTTCATTAACTTTTGTTACTGGGGCTCAAGATGGATTCAAAATCTAAACTGTATCAAAAGAAGAAAAAATTATTATCCTTTTTATTCTAATTTAATTACACCATAGTTGATGGGTTAACTTTAATAATTAAATAATAATAACCCGACATCTTTTTTTTTTTTTTTT